CTGCATGCTGAGAATTACAAGTTATAATTAAGAAGTTAGCAATGTAGGTGTCACATCTAAGACAGTGGACTGGAGAAATGGATTCTTCCTCACAAACATGTGACAAGGGCCAGTAACCCCTTTGGCAGCAGCAAATTTATCTCTAGACTCAATTAGAAACATCCTACTAAGTAACTGTGAACCTTTCCAAGTGGTACACTGACTTGAAAGAGAAAGTTTTTAAGCCCCAGGCTGAACAAAATTGCAAAATGCATAAAAGACCGAAAACCACCTGCATAAGACTTAAGCTTTACATAAGTATATCTTACCACCGCCCGCCCCTCAGAAAAAAGCAGTATAAGATGTTTTCCAATATACCCTTTGGGAAAAGCCAGGAGGGAAAATAATGAAGCAAATCATGAAAGACTCGCAAATGTTGTGGTTTTGAAAGAAGCCAGACTGATAGGACTGTGCACTGAACCCCTTTCACAGCAGAATCAGTACAGCATATTAACACTATACCCCTCAGGACTGAGCCGAAGCCAATGCACAGACAAAAGGGTAGCTCACTCTCCAGTATAATTTGACTATTTGCATGCAAGAATAGCAGCGATTTTCACACAAATCCAACTTAAATGCACTTAACACTTTGCACTGCAGTAAACCCGTATAAATTAGCTAACAGTGGGGTAACGATCAGAAGCCAGCAACGAAGGACTGCATATGTTCTGAAACTTTACATAGACAGCAGGTACAAAACTAGAACTCTTCTGATGTGTTTGGGTGTTTAAAAACAGAAGCTGGTAAAGCTCAATATACTGGAGCACTCGTTAATACCAAAGCAAAGACAGTAAGAGATGATCACGGTTTACTCACCTTTTCCGTGAATGTAATTTCTTACAGACGCAATATCCTGCTACTGACGCCGCAATGGCACCTTGAAGAAAAACCAAGACAGTCCCACGTCAGGCTCACCACTAACTTACAGAACAGGCCATTTCCAGACTGTAGCGCTTTGGGAGGGACCCTTGTGACTTTCCTGAGAAGGCCTGTAGCTGTTTAATCACAGACTCACGCAGCTCTTCCTCACAGCCGAATGTTTACTAAAACCTGCTTTAACAAAAAACTTTTCCTTGCTCAGAAGTGTCTCCACAACACTAAAATCATGCACCCTGTGGTCTGAGGATGTTGGGTAAACGGGGCAAGGAAGAGATGTCAGTCCATGAGATAATCTTTTATTTCAGAACCCACATCATTCTAGTTCTTTGTAGAATGCAGCAAAACACTGTGGAAAAGTGAAAACCTGCCTTGGAATTTAAGTTCTCTCACCTATTGATTCCCCTCCTTCCCATGCAAAAGGCAGACACCAAATTGAGGCTGCTACATTGCTAAGAAAAACCAAGTGGTTTGCTTTTCTTTTTCAGGAATGCACGCGCACTTTCCCGATACACATGCATTTGAAAGGCAAAATTGCCAGTTCACCCTTACAATCACACACAATCAAGTGAAAAGTAGCTATTCTCCATAAACAGGTAAGAAGAAAAACAGGCTTTGGTGCATCTCCTATTCAGTTTAAATAAAATTACTTACCAAAAATAATAACAACACAGAGGGCGATGATTACACCTAAAATAAAAAAAGGCAAGTGAATTAATCATCATAAAAATGGCATGCATACCAATTAATTACACAGGCTAGGGGAAACATATATTTATTTTGACTTTATAACCTACAAACTAAATGTTTTTTGTGGATTTAAGAGAAAATCCGTTAAGACACGTGAAAATCCTTAAAAAAAATTCCTTAAGAAACTAGCATGAATGATTTTTCAGAACTGGGAATGCGTCCTCCCACCCCCACCCCACCCCAAGCAAAGCAATCTCTGACCCACAGACAGTATTACAGGACCACACAAAAGGGAGTCATTTGTGTTTGTGTGCGTTGACAGTTGCTTGTTTTTACTTACCTGTACTTAACCCCTCCTTTAAGTGACACGATGGAATTCCCGGCTTCCACTGATTTCCACCAACATACTGAATCTTAGCTTCCCCATGTAGTGTGTAGTCTGGATCACATTCAATTGTAATGCTATCTCCAACAGAATATGGTGGCGTTGGTCCATCAATTATTTTTCCATGATCAATGAGCGGGACAGTTGCAGCAGGAGTTGAGGCTGGGATAACTGGAAGTGAAAACAGAAAAAGCCACTTCTTTTTCAGCCTAACACGCAAAGAAAACTCAAGGATTCTTACCTGAACTTATACTTGCAAGCTTGTACAAAACAACCCCAGAAATGGACAACTATGCATGCCGTGGGCAACCTCCCAAAAGCAGGTAGGGCATCAATTGACACTAAATGCCAAACTATTATCATCTCCATTTACTTAGCGACTTTGCAATGGCATTTGTCCACTGAGAGGATCACTGGCCTTTAACTTATACTTCGAGGTACTTTATAGGCACTTTTACAAATACACCAGGAGTACTCTCTCAACACTATTTTGATATTTGATAAACAGTTATATTTTCATTGACATTGTGCAGGTTTAACATGCCCATGTCACCTTACAGTACACAACCTGCAAAATTCCATCTCCAAACCCACAAGGGTTGACACAGAAAGGTACTTTTCAACTGGCCAAAAATATATCCTCCCCAAAAAAGTACAGTTCACATCAGTGTCACAGTTCAGCTCTAACAGATTCGCTAGTCAACCATTTCATTCCTCAGGTCATCTAGTTGCTGGTTTCGGTGACACAAGGCATTGACTTTGTGATTCAAACAATCTGTGCAGGATTCACTGCACCACCGATGAGAAATTCAATTTCTGTTCATACTTACTTTGACAAACTGGCAATTCAGGATGCCAGGTATTATCCTCTTGGCATTCAATCACATCACTTCCAATCATGACGAAGCCAGGAAGGCATTTCATAATAACTCTGCTTCTATAAATATAGTTAGGTGAATATGCAGTTTCTCTTCTCCCATTTGGAACTGCTGGCTCTGGACACTTGACCACTGAAAGAAAGTATCAAAGAACAGGAAGCTCTGAAACATTTGTAGACAGCACTTTTATTTTACAGACACCACGAACAGGTTTTTGTTTTCAGTGAACCTAATTTAAAGTGTATTCCCCCAACACATTTCCTAGGACTTGGACAAGGAAAGAAACGGAGGTCAAGTGTCTTAAATAAGCCCTAATGAAGTGTATCACCATCAAGATCAAAACAGTACAGGCAAATAAATGCCCTTTTCTCCCACATAAAACATGCACCCAATCAAGAAATGCCTCATTTTTGAAAGGCAGAGTGAAGGAAAAAGGATCTTTCCTTGAAAATATTGTTAAGCAGGAATAATTAAGTAGTGGCAGGGAGCCAGATCCTCTGACCCCATAGCCCAGGCAGCACGGGCTCCCTCCAGAAAGCCTGGGGGAGCAGGAGCTGTAGTTAGGGCAGCCTTAGATTTTAATCGTGGATTTGAGGGTTATCAGAGAATTTGTGATTTTTTTTTATTAGGGAAAACCAGGACCCCAGTTTATCACTAAACTCAAAAGCTTCTCACTATAGAAAGATGAATACAAAGAATAAACAACAACAAAAATAAAATGAACCACCTTTGCATCGAGGAGCAGGTGCACTCCAAACTCCATTTTTTTCTGCATCAGAACTACAGTGAATAGTTGCCTCCCCAATAAGTGAGAAAGGGACCGAACCTCTCGGCACAACATTACACTTGTAAGTTACCGATGCCCCGTAGGTATAATCTTCCTGTTCACCAGAGTGCATCCCGTTTTCTATGTCTGGAGGTGGTAAACATGGAATTGCTGCAGGATATTAAAATAAAGAAGAAAAACTGTTGTGTAAGAAGCCACAGCAAAATTTACAAGGTACAACATCTATAAGCAACAGTGCAGTCATTCAGGCAAGTTCAAACAATTACAACAGATTTAACAATTTTTCCTGCAATATTTTTTAAGGTGACTGAACTGCCAAGATATCAGCTATATGTGAACTGACATCATTTTAAGAATACCTGTTACACACAGCAACTCCCCTAGATCAACTGACACCTTTGATACGCTGTCTTAGTTTAGAAAAAAAAAAAAAGAAAAGGAAGAAAAAGCTAGGACACCACTAAAAATATCCAAAAGAATAGAGAAAAAATGTAAATGTATAATTCTTACAGTAATGGCATGATAAAGAAAGGAGATGCCAGATAGGTAAAAAATGGGGCTGAAGAGCAGCTCTCGCTGGCAACAAAACTTAAACACACTGAATCTGTATCAGCAGTTGCTAGCTTAGAAAAACTTAACTTCACTGCAGACATGTGTAACCCATTCATGAACTGTTAATAGAAAAACCTGAAAGGGCATCAGCTTTTCATAATGCAGATTTTTCTACTATAATTAGACGATAAATGTAATGCTGTTACGATCAACAACAGGAAATGTGGAAATGTGAACAGGAAATGCGAACACCAACACACACTTTCTTTTTCATTACAGAACTGAAAGCAAACGGTATTGTATTAACATTTCTGTGATAACATTTTCCATAAAAAAGCAAAATTGAGAAAGTAAACTCTGAGAATGTGAAGTACTTATACCCTTAAAGGACGGAATAAATGTTTTCCTAAAATACCACTGTAATATTCCCTCACAAGGTTAAGTTTAGCTCCCTAACACATCAACCGCCAAAACATACAAAACAAAACAAAACAAGCTTCAGAGTCATGTTAACATTATTTGCAAATGAAACTAGTTATGAAATGAGAATCTACTGGCGATACAAACAAATTCTATAGAGAATCTCACAGTCTTAGGGGATAAAAGATTTCTGTATGAAAAATTCAGGCAATGATGCCAAGGTTGTATCTTATCACTTTATAGGACTAAAAATCTGCAATATATGCTCAATGGAAAATACTGCCAAACAAAAGTTACTGTATTAATGTGACTTTGCTTTCTGATTAAATATGACACTTTAATCACAACTTCCAGTCATCCATTAATCAGAAGTTAATCACTGTGATGGATCATTCAAAAGGTAAATGTTTGCAAAGGTAAAACCTTCAATAAAAGTTTAAATTTAGCCCATATACATTAGCTACCATAATCTGGACAGCCTTACTCCAGTCCTTCTTTCACATATGCATCCAACAGCTTGTAAAAAACAGTTAAGAAGCTACTTTACTTTCTATAGTTACCTGTTTCCTTTAATGTACAGTTTACCTCTGGCATAGAAGAGCACAATGAGAACTTGCTCTTAAAATGTATAAACAGATGATCTCCACTCAAGGGTACTAAAGGAACTGGCTGGTGTCATAGCGTAACCACTGGCGCAACTGTTTGAATGCTTGTGGCACGCAGGATAGGTCCCACAAGACTGGCAAAGGGCCAATGTGGTCCCTATTTTCAACAAGGGGAGGAAGGAGGACCCGGGAAATTATAGGCCGGTTAGCCTCACCTCTATTCTTGGCAAGACCCTAGAAAAAATCATTAAGGATCACATTTGTGGGGGGCCAGCATGTAATACAACATTAAAGGACAACCAGCATGGGTTTACAGCAGGCAGATCCTGCCCGAATAACCTGGTCTCTTTTTATGACCAGGTCACAAAGTGCTTAGATGTAGGAGTCGACGTAGGTGTTATTTACTTGGATTTTAAAAAGGCTTTTGACGGTGTCGCACCCAATTCTTACAAGCAAACTAAATGGCTGTGACCTAGATTTTTTCAGTCAGGTGGATGGAAAATTGGCTTATGGGATGTACCCAGAGAGTGGTGGTGGATGGTTTCTACCTGGAGAGATGTGGGCAGTGATGTCCCCCAAACAAGGGCATCCCTCGGGTGGGGTCAAATCAGGGCAACTGCCCCAGGCCCCGCACTTTGGGGGACCCCACAGAGCCCAGCAGAGGAGCGGTGGTGTGAAGCTGGGCAGAGCACCAGCTCCATGTCCAGCTGCTCGCTACCTCCGCCCCCTCCCCCTCCACCCACTGCTGGAGGTGGCAGCTTCTTTGGGTCTGGGGCCCGTTGGATCGAAGCGGGGTGGGGCCCCACAAGGGCCAATCTGCCCCAGGCCCCGCACTCTGCTCGGGTCGCCTCTGACCCCAAGGCTCTGTCCTTGGACCAGTACTGTTCAATACCTTCATCAGTGACTTGGATTTTACAGATTTACAGACATTAGGGCTGGAAGGGACCTCAGAAGATCATCGAGTCCAGCCCCCCGCCCCAGAGGCAGGAAGTCAGCTGGGGTCATAGGATCCCAGCAAGATAAACATCCAATTTTTTCTTGAAGGCGTTCAGAGTAGGTGCTTGAACCACCTCCGATGGCAGGCAGTTCCAAACCTTGGGGACTCGGACAGTAAAGACACATTTCCTTATGTCCAGCCTGAAACGGTTTTGCAGGAGTTTATAACTGTTCGACCTTGTCATCCCTTTGGGGGGGGGACTCTGGTGAACAATCGTTCCCCCAGATCCTGGTGAACACCCCGATAAACTTATAGGTGGCCATCAGATCACCCCTGAGCCTGCGCTTTTCCAGGCTAAAGAGCCCCATAGCTCTCAGCCTGTCGTCGTAAGGTCTGTTTTCCTGACCTCTGATCATGTGCGTGGCTCTTCTCTGGACTCTCTCAAGCTTCTCCACGTCCTTTTTGAATTGTGGAGCCCAAAACTGGATGCAGTACTCCAGCTGCGGCCTCACCAAGGCCGAGTACAAGGGGAGAATGACATCCTGGGATTTGTTTGAGAAGCACAGATTCATAGATTGTAGAGTCTATGGGTGCAAGCCAGCGTTTTGCTTGCTTTACTAGCTGCAGCATCACACTGAAGGCTCATGTTCATCCTAGCCAGCATAGCACTGACAAGCCTATAAGGATGCTGCAGGTTTTTCTTCCCAAGGTGGAGAACCTTGCTTTTTTGGTGTTAAACACCATCAGGATCTCGTCCGCCCATTTCCTGAGCCTGTCAAGGTCAGCCTGGATCGCCCTCCTGTCCTCAGGTGTGGATGCTTTACCCCAAAGTTTGGTATCATTGGTGAACTTGGCCAGCCCGTTTCTGACTCCAATGTCCACCTCATTAATGAAGATGTTGAACAATATAGGCCCTAGCACAGAGCCTTGAGGGACCCCACTGGTCACAGGGCACCATGACAATTGACTTCCGTCAACCACCACCTCTAGATGAGGGTCTAGAAAGCACTCTGTCCAAATTCACAGACAACACCAAACTATGGGGTATAGTAAACACACTAGAGGGTAGGGAGCGAATTCAGGCAGATGAAGTCAGACCGGGGGAGTGGGCAGATCTGAATAGGATGCAATTTAACAAAGATAAGTGCAAAGTGCTGCACCTGAGCAGAAAGAATCACCAACACACCTACAGACTAGGAAGAGCCATTCTAAGTAGGACATCAGTAGAAAGGGATCTCGGAGTCACAGTCGATGCAAAAATGAACACGAGTTGCCAATATGACGAGGTAATAAGTAAGGCTAACTGCACACTTTCTTGCATTAGTAGGTGCATCACAAGCGGGTCTAGGGAGGTGATACGTCCCCTCTATGCAACACTGGTGAGGCCGCAGCTGGAGTACTGCATCCAGTTTTGGGCACCACACTTCAAGCAGGATGTGGGTAACCTGAAAAGGGTTCAGAGGAGGGCTACTTGTACAGCTGAGGGCCTGCAGGTACGATCCTACGAAGACAGTTTGAGGGACCTGAATCTCTTCAGCCTCCATGACAGAAGGCTAAGACTGTGTACAAACTCATCGGGGGGAGAGGGGATGTCAGCAGGGAATAGGGGATACTCTGTTTACCAGGACACCTGTTGGGGTTACTAGAAACAATGGCCATAAACTGAAGGAGAGCAGATTTAGATTGGACATCAGGAAAAAATTCTTTATGGTGATGGTTGTCAAAATATGGAATGGGCTTCCAAGGGAGGTGGTGCTTTCCCCTACCTTGGAGGTGTTCAAAAGGAGATTAAACAAGCACCTGGCCGGGGTTACTTGACCCCAGCGCTCGTTCCTGCCCAGAGCAGAGGGTTGGACTCAGTGATCCAATAGGTCCCTTCCGACCCTAGAAATCTATGATATAGTTCACTTACGTGTACACTCTGGAATTTCGTTACTCCAACGAACACCAGTGCCATCAATCACACACTGAACTGATGATCTTCCAATTAATCTGTACCTAAGTAGGAGAGAAAAAGGAAACCCGTTCAAATAAGTTACTGGAAGCTCCCACTCAGCATCTGATACACATAGATATACTTCTGTTCCACCAACAAAATGGAGGAGCAGCAAGTTTTAAGCTGCAATTCTCTTGAGATCCTTTTTATGAGTGCCACCCACAGGGCGCCACACAACATTAGCATAGTCAGGCACGCAAACACGATTTACAAGATAAACCCAGAGACTTCCAACAAAAATCCATAGGCGTGGTGTTTCTGAGTTCTTTGCAAAAGAAAAACCGATCTATTTTATTTTAGGCAAAAAAAAGAGCAAAAGCTAAGAGCTAGCACTTTCCAAGGGGTGCCTTGAGTCAGTCCAGGGGGTTCTTGAGTGTAAAAAGGCTGAGAAACACTGATCTAGAGAAACCAAAAAAGCTATTAAGATTGTATTCCGTGCATTTCATTCCACAAAATGTTCCTTGGTAGGAACAAAGATGATTTTTATAAGTAGCTCTTGGAATTTAAAAAAAACCCAAAAAACTAAATAAATTAAAATTAAAAAATAATAATGCCTGAACAAAGACTACTTTGGGTAAACTGAAAAAGGCTGCTGTAACTGAAAAATGTAAATATAAGATGCATGACCAACAGATCGAGGGAGGTGATGCTCCTCCTCTATGCAGCACTGGTCAGGTCGCAACTGGAGTACTGTGTCCAGTTTTGGGCGCCACACTTCAAGAGGGACACGGAGGATCTGGAAAGGGTTCAGAGGAGGGCCACCTGCATGATTAGTAGTCTCTGTGAAAGACCCTACGAAGAGAGGTTGAGCGATCTGGATCTCTTCAGCCTATACAAAAGACGGCTGAGGGGTGACCTTGTGGCCGCCTATAAATTTATCAGGGGAGGAAAGCAGGGAATTGGGGACGCGCTGTTTTCCAGAGCGCCCCAGGGAGTAACTAGGAATAATGGGTGCAAACTAGTGGAGAGCAGATTTAGGTTAGACATTAGGAAGAAATTTTTTACAATAAGGGTGGCCAGTCTGGAATTTATTTTTTACCATAAGGGTGGCTTCCAAGAGAGGTGGTGCTGTCACCTAACTTGGAGGTCTTCAAAAGGAGGCTTGACAACCACCTGGCTGGGGTCATCTGACCGCGGTCCTCTTTCCTGCCTGGGGCAGGGGGTTGGACACGATGATCCACTGGGTCCCTTCCGACTCTATAGTCTATGAACCTATGAATTAGGCCATAAAGAGCACAAAAAAACAAACCCACTAGACTCAACCTTTTCGAATCGGACATACAAAACAAGTATAACTTCAGACTTCTCAAGAAAACACAAACAGCCTTCAGAAATTTCTAAGTATAAAACATTCTAATAAAAGCTTAAGTATTAATTTAATGCTAGCTAAAAAAAACACAGTAGTATGAGAGAGAAAGAAGGAAAAGCATTCATTGAAATCCTTACCCTTCATTACAAGAAAATGTCACTGTTGAACCAAAACTAAGATCAGTCTCAATATGAACGGAACCATCTGGCAAGTCTCCTGGATGACCACAGAGCTTCGCTGAAAGGGAACAAAGATGGGAATTAAGTGTCCATAAGGTACTGTCACTTCGTACTTTCTAGTTTTCCAAGATCTGAATCTCAGTTTCTTGTAGGAATCCCCAGATCCCAACTCCCCCTGGGGTGGGCGTGGGGGGGTCAGACCCCTCCCCAGTGGAGCAGACTCCATTAAATTGCATCTTGCAGGGACAGAAAGGACCTGATCTCCAGCTTGCATGGAGGAAGGAAAAAGGAAGAGAGGCTCAGGCCTCCACAGACCTGACACACACGGTGGCAGACCTCTTGGGCTGACAAATAGCTCCCAACACAAACCCACCTACTCAGACTCCCAAACACCCCATCTCAGCACCCTGATGCCCCCAAATTGAACCCCAACAACTACCTGTCCCCACACTCCCTCTTCTACTCTCCAGCACCCCAAGTCTTCCTCTCCTCCTGCAAATATTCCTTGACACAAGCATTCACACTTCTCATGTATTCTTTTGCAAAATGCAGCATTCACACTTCATAGATTTCAGATTTCTAAGCTGTAAGCCCCTTGGACTGAAACAGACTGTAATCAAGTGCCTGCTTTCCCCCCAGGTGTCTTCCCAGCATCCAATTCAAAACAGATGCTGGTTGGGTGTTGCTCAGGTTAAATGCACAGCACGTCCCCTAGACTGAGCCACTCGGGTCATAAGGATACCACCTGGTCAGCTACATTCCAGGTATCCTGCTGTCATACCAACTGGTTATACTGTGCGTTTGTTGTTCACCCAAATGGTAGTGGTCTAGACTGCTTTTCCCCACAAAAGGGTTAGTGCAGTAACTGGGCAGCTAAGATCATGTGGCGTATTACCACAACAGCCGGCTATCCAGGCACACACACAAAAAGATACTAGGAGAATATTTCTACATTTTGGAAAGAGGCAAGGGGAGGGGGGATCTAAAATATGGATCACTAAGCTTATCCTGACCCTTATAAAACACAGCAACCTGGGCAAACGTGCAAGGTTTAGTGTTCAGAAAAACCCAGGCATAAGAAAGTAAATGGTTCTCAAACTTAGGGTCTCCAGTCTCATCAATTATGTAACTACTTTAACTTACTTAGGACCACATCCACTCCCCCTGCTTCACTCCTGCATCCTGATCAACGTCGACACACTGCTGCAAGACCAGCACAGAATTCTGACATTCATTTTCTTTTTCCAAGTCCATTACCACCACACTGGGGTGCTTGAGCAGCTTCACAAATTCAATGCTTTGTGTTTTACTTTCCTGCTCTACCCCATAAGGCAGTCACTATACATGGAGCATTTTTACCTTCTGCAAGGATATGTTAGCTACTGAGTTATACTCCAGTCAAAATATTCCCCCTCCAGAAAGTGTAGTACCCCTTAGTCTGCACAGGAAGGGAAAGCAAGAGAAACAAACCAAATTTCCATTATAGCAGTACAGATATATCACCAAGGCACTGTCTCTCTTTGCATCTCTCATTTAACTCCCGGAATCTCACTATTTACCAAGTGATACTCTTGCGTTATTTAGACAATAAGCTTACCACTGACTTCAGCGAGATCCGCATTTCACATGTGTCCAGTTTATATTTGATGGAAAACATCAAGTCTGTTTTTAGGATGATTGTTAAAGACAGACAGAAAACAATAACAGCTCACATGTGCGCAACTCTGGTGGAAAAGGGACAAATCAGCATCCCTTTTTATTCCCAAATTAAACTCTTACAAAATGCTCAATCCACTCTAAAAGCAACTACTTGACTCATTCTCTCCGATACAACAGAGTGAGGGGGAAAGGAACTTACCTATACAAAATTTTTCAGGTTTTGACCATGATGAACCTGCACGACAAGTTTGAGCGGCCTCAAAGGAAGGGTCTCTCCTGTATCCTGGGCGACAAACGTATTGCACAGAGCTCCCAACAGAAAAGGTGGTCTTATCTTTAAACGCATCCGCTAGCTCTGCATAGGGTAACCTGTCAGGGGGGCCGCAATCACCTATCAAAGAAAAGAACAGTAACTTTAGCGGGAAGCAAGGAAACAAATGACATCTTGACTGGTATGGAGGCTGGAGTTGTTAAAAGGTCCTCAGAGCTTCAGTGGGATCTGGCCATCTAACATCCTTATCATGGCCTGAAGCCTTAAACAAAGCACACAAAGGGGCACTAGCAAAAACAGCCAAAGGAATACTGGACAATAGAGGCTGGACATCTTGGTTGCATATCAGACCGGCAATCAGCATTTTTTGGCTGGCGTAGCCAATAATGTCACCAATAAATGCTGCATGCATGCACACAGCCACACACATGCATGCGGTCAGGAACGCAGCTTGGAGAGCAGTGTCTTGCCGGTAAGTCGGGGCGGGGGAGGGTGCGGGGGGCATGGCCGGGGCAGACGGAGGCCTCCACAGTGAGGGAGGGAGTGGGGCTGGGGCAGAGGCAGGGACAGGCACTGCCCCGTCAGGGGAGGGAATGTGGCCCAAGGAACGGGTAGGTTAGACATTAGGAAGAAATTTTTTACAATAAGGGTGGCCAGTCTGGAATTTATTTTTTACCATAAGGGTGGCTTCCAAGAGAGGTGGTGCTGTCACCTAACTTGGAGGTCTTCAAAAGGAGGCTTGACAACCACCTGGCTGGGGTCATCTGACCGCGGTCCTCTTTCCTGCCTGGGGCAGGGGGTTGGACACGATGATCCACTGGGTCCCTTCCGACTCTATAGTCTATGAACCTATGAATTAGGCCATAAAGAGCACAAAAAAACAAACCCACTAGACTCAACCTTTTCGAATCGGACATACAAAACAAGTATAACTTCAGACTTCTCAAGAAAACACAAACAGCCTTCAGAAATTTCTAAGTATAAAACATTCTAATAAAAGCTTAAGTATTAATTTAATGCTAGCTAAAAAAAACACAGTAGTATGAGAGAGAAAGAAGGAAAAGCATTCATTGAAATCCTTACCCTTCATTACAAGAAAATGTCACTGTTGAACCAAAACTAAGATCAGTCTCAATATGAACGGAACCATCTGGCAAGTCTCCTGGATGACCACAGAGCTTCGCTGAAAGGGAACAAAGATGGGAATTAAGTGTCCATAAGGTACTGTCACTTCGTACTTTCTAGTTTTCCAAGATCTGAATCTCAGTTTCTTGTAGGAATCCCCAGATCCCAACTCCCCCTGGGGTGGGCGTGGGGGGGTCAGACCCCTCCCCAGTGGAGCAGACTCCATTAAATTGCATCTTGCAGGGACAGAAAGGACCTGATCTCCAGCTTGCATGGAGGAAGGAAAAAGGAAGAGAGGCTCAGGCCTCCACAGACCTGACACACACGGTGGCAGACCTCTTGGGCTGACAAATAGCTCCCAACACAAACCCACCTACTCAGACTCCCAAACACCCCATCTCAGCACCCTGATGCCCCCAAATTGAACCCCAACAACTACCTGTCCCCACACTCCCTCTTCTACTCTCCAGCACCCCAAGTCTTCCTCTCCTCCTGCAAATATTCCTTGACACAAGCATTCACACTTCTCATGTATTCTTTTGCAAAATGCAGCATTCACACTTCATAGATTTCAGATTTCTAAGCTGTAAGCCCCTTGGACTGAAACAGACTGTAATCAAGTGCCTACTTTCCTCTCCCCCACTCCCACTTCTTCCCAGCATTTATTTCAAACAGATGCTGGTTACTTGCTCAGGTTCAACAAGCACAGCACGTCCCCTAGACTGAGCCACTCGAGTCACGAGAATGCCACCTCGTAATTCAGCTACGTTCCAGGCACCCTGCTGTCACACCAGTATAAACTGGTTATACTCCAAGTTATTTTTGCACCAAATGGTAGTGGTCTAGACGGCTTGTCACCCAAAAGTATTAGTACAGTAACTGTGCACCTAAGACCATGTGGCATAATCCCAGAACAGCCCGATATCCATGCACACAGAAAAAGAGATACTGGGAGAATATTTCTACATTTGAAAAGAGGGGAGAAGGGAGTTACGTCTTGGTAAATGACCTCAAAAATGGATCATTAACCTTAAGCTTACCCTTATAAAACACAGCAACCTGGGCAAACGTGCAAGGTTTAGTGTTCAGAAAAACCCAGGCATAAGAAAGTAAATGGTTCTCAAACTTAGGGTCTCCAGTCTCATCAATTATGTAACTACTTTAACTTACTTAGGACCACATCCACTCCCCCTGCTTCACTCCTGCATCCTGATCAACGTCGACACACTGCTGCAAGACCAGCACAGAATTCTGACATTCATTTTCTTTTTCCAAGTCCATTACCACCACACTGGGGTGCTTGAGCAGCTTCACAAATTCAATGCTTTGTGTTTTACTTTCCTGCTCTACCCCATAAGGCAGTCACTATACATAACACATTTTTACCTTCTGCAAGGATATGTTAGCTACTGAGTTATACTCCAGTCAAAATATTCCCCCTCCAGAAAGTGTAGTACCCCTTAGTCTGCACAGGAAGGGAAAGCAAGAGAAACAAACCAAATTTCCATTATAGCAGTACAGATATATCACCAAGGCACTGTCTCTCTTTGCATCTCTCATTTAACTCCCGGAATCTCACTATTTACCAAGTGATACTCTTGCGTTATTTAGACAATAAGCTTACCACTGACTTCAGCGAGATCCGCATTTCACATGTGTCCAGTTTATATTTGATGGAAAACATCAAGTCTGTTTTTAGGATGATTGTTAAAGACAGACAGAAAACAATAACAGCTCACATGTGCGCAACTCTGGTGGAAAAGGGACAAATCAGCATCCCTTTTTATTCCCAAATTAAACTCTTACAAAATGCTCAATCCACTCTAAAAGCAACTACTTGACTCATTCTCTCCGATACAACAGAGTGAGGGGGAAAGGAACTTACCTATACAAAATTTTTCAGGTTTTGACCATGATGAACCTGCACGACAAGTTTGAGCGGCCTCAAAGGAAGGGTCTCTCCTGTATCCTGGGCGACAAACGTATTGCACAGAGCTCCCAACAGAAAAGGTGGTCTTATCTTTAAACGCATCCGCTAGCTCTGCATAGGGTAACCTGTCAGGGGGGCCGCAATCACCTATCAAAGAAAAGAACAGTAACTTTAGCGGGAAGCAAGGAAACAAATGACATCTTGACTGGTATGGAGGCTGGAGTTGTTAAAAGGTCCTCAGAGCTTCAGTGGGATCTGGCCATCTAACATCCTTATCATGGCCTGAAGCCTTAAACAAAGCACACAAAGGGGCACTAGCAAAAACAGCCAAAGGAATACTGGACAATAGAGGCTGGACATCTTGGTTGCATATCAGACCGGCAATCAGCATTTTTTGGCTGGCGTAGCCAATAATGTCACCAATAAATGCTGCATGCACCTGCCATGCACACGGCCGGGGTGCAGCTCAGGAGTTTGGAGAGCAGTGTCCAGCTGGTAAGTTTGTTGGGGGAAAGTGTGGGGGGAAAGATGGGGCATGCAGCAGCAGCAAAGGGGCACGGGTGGGAGCAGATCATGGCCCCGACAGTGATAGGGCTGGGGCTAGAGAAGGGGCAGGGGTGGGACATGAAACGGAGCTGCAGCTCATCCAGGGGTGGCGGCTCTTGCTGCTGCATGTACCCCCGGAGAAGGCACAGGGACATGTGTCCCCTGGATCTGTGCATGGGGCGAGGACAGGCTGCTGTTGAGCGCATGGGGCGGAGATACTCCAGCCTCCTCCTGGCCACCGTGCTCAGACCAGGCGGGGCTGCCAGCAGTGTAGGGAGGGAGGGGCTATGGTGAATTTTGGGGTGGCTGTAGCCCCCCCGTAGCTCCCGTCCCAGTGGCATTGCTGTCTGTCCTGAGAAGAGTTGCTGGGAAGAAGCTGGAGGAGCCCCAGCCCTGAGCACACAATAGCAGCCTGCTCTTGCCCCGCACACACATTGGGGGCAGGGGGGAAGGCAGCACACGCCCCTTGTGCCTCCCCCAGGGGTGCACGCAGCAGCAGGAGCTGCCCCCAACACACCGCCTCAACTCCTAATGTTATTTTAATAATTACAACTTAAATATTGCTTACTATATGTCAGTTAAACAATGACATCCTGACATACACGTTATGCTCAGCTGTCACTGACTGTTACCCAAGGTTTCCACTCCTGGTACACCAGGAAATTTTATTTACACAGTCTTTGATTTCTGAACTCTAAATTTTGTCATTAAATACAGTCACATGACTTGATTTGGCTGCATATGGTAGAAAATAAAAACGAAACTATTAAGTCACTGCTGAAGGATGTCAAGCTATAAGTTCTTATATCAACAGACGGGAGAGAAACCCACCTCCAGTCAGAACTAGATTATAAATGAATTACGTGGAAAGCAGAGATGCAGTCAGGCACGAGTGTTGGGCAGGACTGGCCCTGATTAAGGAAGGCACTTCAACACATAACTTAGCGGAAGACACAGACCAGCCGAGCAAGACTCTACAGTGGCAACATCCAAGCCTTCCACCGTCCCCCCCAAAATGTACCCACACATAGAAGACACCATAAAACTAGTGAAATGCAGCAAGCAGACCACACATACACATTATATTTGTCTAACCGATGAGTAGCAAAGGTTTGACACAAACCTGAAACAAAATGACTGAATTATATTCAAGATATCCCTACCACGAAAATGTACATTACTATGGCACACAATTTTTAGCAATAACTGCCCCCATAATTCAATTATGCATCTAACTGCTGGTTGCTATTTTTTTTTCCCATGAGAAACAAGAAGCTTCTGCTCAACACAAAAGGTATTAAAAAACATCTATTTAAAGGTTAGCCCATGACTGCTGTTTTTTCCTCTCCCCTTCTTTTTCCTTGAGCTGTTCCTTTCTGTTCCAGCAGTTCCACGTCTTCCCTTTTGACAGTGCTCCCTTATGAAACTCACTGGCCAATCTACTCATACAAACCGGACTGTATAAAAGCAGTGTTCCACAACAGAAAGCAATTTGCCAGTAGATGGAGTATTACAGCGATTATTCTATAGGGAAAGGAACAGCAGATTAATTCACAGTAACTAGGTCTTTTCTCTGGATAGA